TATACCTTCCATGGACTTCTTATAGGTCAGAATAGGTTACTGACCTAAAAAGACCCGGGTCAACATTTTGTTTTTAGGAACATACTCCCTAGCGCAATCTTTGCCGCTTATCCAAATGCAAAACTCAAAACAGTCTTGCATCATCTTGGTCATCGTGACCTCTAAAAGGTCAAACAAGGTCACTGACCTTAAACGGGCGTGATAAATTTTGCTTAGGACAGTTGCCTAGGTTCTAGTGGCCCTTTGGAGACCAATCTGGAACTTTACCTTGTTTGAACCTTATATGAACTAAAGGTCATAGCCCAGGAACCTCAAACTTTGAACTAAGTGAATTCACGTACAGGTCAACACACCCTGTACATTTAGTGTCTCTAGCTCTCTTTGTTCCCAAGATCTGAGGGGGTCAAAATGACCCCCCACCCGAGCGAAGGGTATTCAACCGGCCACCCGGGCGCGTGTTAAGTTGTGCGGTTCACAGCCATGTTCTTTTTAAAACTGCACATCCTATTGCTTCTGAGCTTGTTGCACGCGAACTTGTACAACCTATTACGCGCCGCCCGTAGGTAGGTCACCCTGACGTGTATGACGTCATGGAGGCGCCGTGTGAGCAAGGACCTCATTGGCTGTGTGGTGCTCCCAGCCAAGAAAGCATGGTCACGGAAACACTCGTGTTAACGGTGATGCAGTTCAAAGTGTCCCAACAATGAAAGGCAATAGCCCATTCACGGCCGGTGCGTGCGTGCGTGCGTGCGTGCCTGTAGCATACTCCGAATTAACGGGATGTTGTAAGGATTCAGTGCAGAGCAATAGCGAAGATTATGGGATAGGCGTTTCGATCACGAACTGCGCTTCGCCTTAACTAGTACAGAGACTTAAGGAACCATTAAATATGACGGGCATGAGGCTGAAAACTAAACCACATTTATAATAGTGTCGTAACCGAAAATGCAGCCATGAGTGAGTAACATGTCATTGCTGAACATATGCAAAATGTGGGTTGGCGGAGGCGGGCGCTTGCTGTTGGGGGGCGGTGTTGGTTGGCAGAGGCGGGCGCCCGCGGTCGGGAGGTGGTGTTGGCCAGCAGAGGCAGACGCATGAGGTCGGGAGGCTGTGTTGGTTGGCGGAGGTGGGTGCGCGGGGCCAGGGTCGGGGGTCGGTGTTGGTTGGCGCAGGCAGGCGCGCGGGGCTAGGTTCGGAGGTCGTCGTTGAGGCGGACGCGTGAGGTCGGGAGGCGGTGTTGGTCGGCGGAGGCGGGCACGCGGGGCCAGGGTCGGAGTTCGGTGTTGGTCGGCGGAAAAGGGCGCGCGGGGTCGGGGGTCGTGTTTAGGTGGACACGCGGGGCCAGGATCGGGGATCGGTGTTAGTCGGCGGAGGCGGGCGCGCGGGGTCAGCGTAGGGGTCGGTGTTGGTCGGCGGAGGCGGGCGCGCGGGGCCAGAGTCGGGGTTCGGTGTTGATCCGCAGAGTCGGGCGGCTGTGCGGCGTGCGTTCCGGCAGGTGAATAAAGGCACAGTTCCTCAGGTAGGGCGCGGTCAGAAAGAACGTGCTGAAGATCAGTGACAGAAGGTTTCTTTTTCATGTGACGTAGGTCATCCGACACATTGCGATCGTTCCAGTTTCCATCTTGAAAGTCATGCCTGCGACTTCTCAGAACATGTTTAAAGGCATGATACTTGTCATCAAGGTATTAGGACACCGCACAAATTCCATGCAACTGATAACGCAGGCATTTGCTAGGGTCTTTGGCTGCAAATGGACTGAATCGAAGTGATAGGGTTTTAATTGCTGAACAAAAAGATTTGTGAGTCCTTGTGATAACAGCGTTATTGCACATGCGATTATCACATGTAAACGTTTCATCAGTCCAAGCTATGAAGAAGACCCTGCTAACATTTATAAAGATAAGCGCAACTTTGGGAATCAAAGCAGATTGGTATGCTGTGAAAAGAAATGGCTATCTGTAAAACACGACGTAGAGTGCCGCGCAAATGTTTGAAATTGAAGGAACTTTCCACGTGTTACAAAACCAGCTTCTATAAAGCGGATAGTGGGTGTTTGTCAGAGTTGTTATGCGACAAAGCTTGGCCGCATGTGACATGAATGTATAAGGGTAGCATACTCTTCTGAGTAATGCACTGCAGTGCCGTATTTCAAATGCCTTGCCAGCTCATCTTAACACGCGCTCGGGGGAGGGTGGTCAAACTGACCCCCCGAAGGTTTTCCAGAATGGTTTCCGAATGACGTGGCGTAGCCGCGCAACGATTTGCATAGCTGTGGGCAATTGCATAGAAAATCGCTTGACATAACAAATTTAGGTGTACCTTGTAAGGTCTCTGACCTATGGCAGATCAAAGTCAGGTCATGGTTTCAGCAAAGGAAATTTCTAGGGGATCGTCCAATCTGATACAATACCGGATTGTTTGACGAAGCCATACACCTCTGAGATGCTTTCTCAGGCACCACAAATATTGAATGAGCAAATTACGTTGACCTTGGTCGGGTACGAAGGTCAGACCAAGGTCAAAACCAACCTGATTTACTACTCTAGGGCTTGATGTATTCGACAGTTTGTGGTACTCATAGTAAATTTAATGACAGCAGGAACCGCACTATACATCTTCCATTGACTTCTTGGAGGTCAGAACAAGTCATTGACCTAGTATGACCCGAGCCGACGTTTTGTTTTGGGAGCATACTGCCTAGCGTAATCTGTGTTGCTTATTCAAATGTAAAACTCAGAGCTGTATTGTATGATTTCGGTCAACGCGACCTTCAGTTGGTCAAACAAGGTCACTGACCTCAAATGGGATTGTCACCTTTTGCTTAGAAACAGTTGCCTAGGTTCTGGGGGCACTTTGGAGACCAACCTGGAATTTGACCTTGTTTTACCTTATTTGACCTGAAGATCACAAGTTACGAAGCTCAAACTTTAACCGAAGTGATTTCACGTATAGGTCAAGACACCCTGTAAATTTTGTGTCTCTAGCTTTTTTAGTTCCCGAGATCTCAGGGGGTCAATTTGACCCCCACCCGAGAGAAGGGTATCTAGCCGGCCACCCGGGCTCGTGTTGACACGCGCTCGGGTGGGGGTCAAGTTGACCCCCGAAGGTTTTTCCAGAATGGTTTCCAAACGGCGCGGCGCAGCCACGCCCAATTTTGCATCGCTGTAGACAATTGAATAGCAGGTCGTTTGGCGTAAAAAATTATATGTACCTTGTAAGGTAGCTGACCTATGGCAGGTCAAAGTCAAGCCATGGTTTCAGCGGTCAATTTCTAGGGAATCATTTCATATTATTCAAGAACGGAGTGTTAGACGAAGCCGTACATCTCTGGAATGCTTCCTGAGGCAACAGTGATAGTTTCTGGTGCTCATTTCGAATTTATTGATAACAGGAACCGTATTATGCATCTTCCATGGACTTCTTTGATATCATATTAGGTCACTTACCTAAAATAGCCCAGGCCAACATATTGTTTTTAGAAACACACTGTCTACCATAATCTTTGTCAGTTTTCCAAACGCAAAACTCAGAGCGCACTTGCATGATTTTGGTCATCATGACCTTCAAAAGGTCAAGCAAGGTCATTGACTGTAACTGGGCATGTGACCTTTTGCTTATAAAAAGTTATCCAGGTTCTGGGGGCGCTTTGGAGAACATTCTAGCAGTTGACCTTATTTGACCTTACTTGACCCGAAGGGCATGATCTAGGAATCTCAAACTTTGACTTAAGTGAGTACCCGTACAGGTAAATACACCCTGTGACTTTGGTGTCTCTAGCTCTCTTAGTTCTCGGGATCTCAGGGGTGGGAGGGGATAAAATTGCCACCCCCCCTCCCCCACCTGAGCGAAGGGTATTTAGCCGGCCACCCGGGCGCGTGTTAATGCGAGGGACAGAGCAGCTGATAAACGTTCTCCAATGTTGTAAACACTGTTTTTTCACGTTGGTGGGAATGACACAGCGCTAAATATAGTCAGGTTCGACATAGGTTTCTGGCTGCTATAAGTGATCATGTTGATGAGATACATGTGAATAAAGAACCAGATGTGATAGTTAACACGCGCCAGGGTGGCAGGCTTGGTGGGAAGTCAGTTTAGCTCCCTGAGACCTTAGGAACTAAGGAAGCTAGTGACACCAAAATTACAGGGTGTGTTGACCTGTATCTGAGCTAATTCAGGCCAGACATTGAGATCCCTGGGTCATTTAAGGTCACTGACCTGCTCTGACCTTTGGAAAGTCCATGTAAGACGTAGGGTGCAATTTCTGTTATCAATAAGTTTGCAATGGGCACCAGAAACTATCCCATACAGCAAGCCCTGGAATACTAAAACAGATTGGCTTTGGCCTTGGTCCAGAGTTCAAAACTGACCTTAGGCCGATTGGATTTGCTCTTTCAATTGTTGTGTTCCCTGAGATAGTATCCCAGAGGTGCATGGTCTCGTCTAACACCCAGTTGTTGCATCAGGATGAACGATTGCCAAGATCTCGACTTCGCAAAATCCATGACCTGACTTTAACCTGCCGTAAGTCAGCGACCTTACAAGGTACATATAAATTTTTAATACCAAGCGACTTGGTTTTCAGTTGTCTGCAGCTAGGCAAAATATGGCGCGGCTTTGCCGCGCCGTTCGTAAACCATTCTGGACGAACCTTTGAGGGGGGGGGGAACAAATTGCCCCCACCCGGCCGCGTGTTAAGGCTATTGTCAAAGAAACAGTGAGATGCATCCCTTGTTTCGTTACAAATTCACTCAGCGCTGTCGCCATAAGCCTGTTAAATATACTGCAGGAAGCATTGTGCAGAACATAATGCCCAAATTGGGCAAATATGCCACTTACCTTAACTTGAATGTTTGAATAGATGTAGATTTACTGCTCAGGTGCCATGAAAGTGTTATGCATTGACTGCGTCTTTGCATTACTCAATCATCTAAGATTTGTTAGCTCAGGCCGCATGCACGAACAGCATGTCCACCAACTTCTTCTGCGTTATCCCGTTGCAGATGATCCTGGGCAACTCTGTAACCTAAAGCTTGATTACAACTTGCAGCAAAGAAGTGCAAGACTTTAACATGACGTCTCGAAGGACAGCAAAGGAGCTTTTCTTCTGTACATGTGTATTGTTGCTGCTCATCAGCTGTTTTCAAGTGCTCCGGCCGCAACCGCACATCAGAAAGTTTGGTAAGGACTCAGTTGTTGTAGTTACAAATTCGTTGGCATTAATCTTGTCTTTCAGGATGGGTTGGCAGTCAAGACGACCCATTTATGTGTGTATTCTGAAGAAGCACTCCTGTTTTAAGTGCCAGCCTTTACTGAGGACGGATCTGATTATTGTAAACCGATACGTCTTCCCAAATTTTTTCGCATCGCCATGACAGTGATGCCTTCACTGCGTAGCAATGACATTCGTTTCTGCTTCTACCGGCTCTATTTTCTCCGGGCCGTTGTCCTGAATAGCTATTTTTCATGACGCTGACTGAAAGGCTTGAGCTGGTTTTTGGATACAATTTCACGAAATACCGGAGAGATATCTTAAGAAAAGCTTAGGGGAAGGAGTACATTGTCTTTCCCGATCAGAGCGAGGATTACGAATAGCGCCAAGCTGAGTGCGCAAATGCAAGTTAAAACACTTAATCATAGACAAATGTACACAATCATCCCGAAGACGGTTAAAACACGCACACAAAACGATATTTGGTGTAGTTCACATGAATAGATTGCGAGGCCATCGAACGGTGCAATTACGTTTCTGAGTACAGGTAAGTGTAATTAATTTCAACGTCTAGCCGTCCTCATATTTACAGTTTTTCCGAAACTTTTCGTTTTGAGCTACTTTTCTTTAGATGACAACACGTCTCATTTACTATCCAATAATCATCTTATTAGGTACTCATCCTAGCGCGTCTCGTGATATCAGTTCAGCTTAACTGCGCCAGAGAAAGAACATCAGTAAGCAACATCGAGCATTTTTAGTGACTTTATCACCAGAGTTTTGCAAAACCCATGGCGGGTATACGTTTCGTAGCACATTGACTCTTGATTTAAACAGTCCGACATACCCACGGTTTATTTATGACATCAAACTCACGTGATGCAGTGGTCAGTTTGTTTCAAACTCAAGTGATGCAGTGGTCAGGTGGTTTCAAACTCACGTGACGCAGTGGTCCATCACCAATTTTAAACCCAGATGATGCATTGGTGCATCACCAGTTTCAAACCCCCATGACCCACCGGTCCATCACCAGTTTCAAACCCACATGACGCAGAGGTGCGTCACCAGTTTCGACCCGTGTTTAGGCATTTTGTGGAATGCATTATTTTCCAACCAGTATCCATCATCCGATAACTAGGGGGTCCTAACATCCATCATCAGGTAACTAAGAGGGTCCTAACATCCATCATCAGGTAATTAAGAGGGTCTTGACACCCATCATCAGGTAACTAAGAGGGCCCTAACGGGATGCTAGCAACAACAGAAATGTAAATAAACACTTCTACCCGCTTCTCAGAGGATAACCGTGCAAAATTTTTCATTAGCTTTCAAAACGTTGTCAGAGTTCATTTCGTTCCCAATGATACAGCTTTCATTTTCCATTGTAAGCTAGAAAAGCCTCCAGACAATTAAAAACATGGCTGTAAGGCCTTTGTTGTTGTTGCAGTATCGTTTTTGGCTTAAAGCCAGCCAACATTGCGCTCATTTATGATGACAGATCTTACCCGAAATTGTTAAAAACTATTGTCAAACGTTCGGGGCGTGTCTGGCGCAGACGCGACGAAACAGACTGCCTGTTATTAGCAGATGATTGCTTGAGTCCAGATGAAATCGAAAATGGTACAGATTAGTGCATAATTCAAAGAAAGGCACAATGCAAACAGTACTTTCAAGCTGGAGCTAGATATTATCTTGCTCTTTTAATGAACAGCAGACAGACCACTATACCGGTCAGCTTGGCGCTCGCGCAGAGGGGGGGGGGGGGGGCGCTTCAGTTTGGCGCCCGCGCAGAGGAGGGTGCCGCATCAGTTTGCCTTGGCGCTCGCGCGCAGGGAGGTGCCGCATCAGTTTGGCGCCCGCGCAGAGGAGGGTGCCGCATCAGTTTGGCCCTCGCGCAGAGGGAGATGCCGCATCAGTTTGTCTTGGCGCTCGCGCGGAGGGAGGTGCCGCTTCAGTTTGGCCCTCGCGCGCAGGGAGGTGCCGCATCAGTTTGGCGCTCGCGGAGAGGGGGGCGGCGCATCAGTTTGGCACTCGCGCACAGGGAGGTGCCGCATCCGTTCGCCTGGGGTCCCTGGGCTCGTGGATCGGATGGCCCAGTGGATGAGGGCGATCAGCTGTTGATCCATTGCGTTCATCTGATTTCCTCTATACACATCTTGCCTCATACTAACCCACCTGTCCTATATTGGAAACAGCTTTGGCATATTGAGGTGACCCTCATCTTCTTGGCGAACGACATGGCCAGCTCCTTAAAGAAAGCAAGTGTCGCGCTCGCGTAGCGGCTCGTCGCGAGATCACCGATAATCCTTTTCTGCATATTGATCATTCAGAACAGGGCACACTTTTCGCTATCATGCACTGTGCTTGGTTTGTAGAACTCGCCGCTTAGGTGGCCATCCGCCTGCAGGAAAATGGATCCGAGATGCTACAGTGGCTGATGAGCTGGATCCGAGATGTCCCAGTGGCTGATGAGATGGATCCGAGATGCCTCAGTGGCTGATGAGCCGAGTCCGAGATACCACAGAGGCTCATGAGCCATCCGAGATGCCAAAGTGACTGATAAGGTGGATCTGAGGTGCTACAGCGGCTGATGAGCTGGACCCGAGATGCCACAGTAACTGATGAGCTGAATCCGAGATGCCACAGTCGCTGTCCAAACCTATCTATCTATCCTAACCATCTATCCAAACCATCATCTTGCTCGGCATCCTTCCGTGGGCTTCAACTTTACATAGTTTGGAGTGTCTCCATCATGGCTAGCATAACAACCATCATTGCAAAGCTAATAGCCATATTACTTGACGGCACCAATAGCCGTATTCTTCGTAGAATAGCCAGGAAAATGTGAGATGGATGCATTTATTTCTCCTATTGAATCACCTTCATGCAATGGTATGATGACAATGTATTGCAATCAAATCAAGTCGGTTATTCAATACATCTATCGCTCCATTCTAGTAGCTATTCAACGAGCAATAAGGCTATTGGTAGCCTCACCTATACACATAATGTTCATTGCAAATGCACTTAGCAGCTTACATCATCACTGCATGGCACATCATTTCGTGAATGGGTGACATAAGCCTTTACATATATTTAGCATATGTTTCACATATGGTTTTTAATTTTCTCTTGGTTGGTGTTTGGCTGGGGAGTCATCTCTTTCGTTTTCTGCTTTAGTCCAGCCCCCATGAGTACTCTTTGGATGAGTGGTTAACTGCATGTAAATCTTTGAAAAGGAGATGATGCCATGTCCACACCTTGACACTTATAAACAGTTAAATCACGTTATTTCCGTAAAGAAATCCCCCGTTGGGTATGCATGAATTACACAGTTACAGGACGGCATACGGAGGCATAGGCCATGATGTGACCCAGGTGACCCGTGAGGACTTACCGGGATGCCGGATTGCACACGGTGGTAGCGGGATCTATTCGTGGTGTTCCCACCTTGGGAGAGAACAGGACACAGCCCGCTCTCATCCGACGCGGTGTACGCCGGACCTTATAAGCGCTTGAGGACGGTCTGTTTGGGACGAAAAGAGATACCGCCATCGACGCTCATAGGAAAGGCGACGAGGAATCAGGTCGCCGGACAGGCCGGTCAGGCCGAGTCTCAAGGGCGTGCCGGCCGAGGAGACCGTAAGGCGTAAACACGGGTCACGCTGGGCGTTTGTCGTCTGCCGAGGAGCTCCACCATCCCATCGGGCGCGCTGTCTACCTCCAGGCCCCTGAGGGACGCGCCGTGGGACGATGCCTTGCACAGCTCGCTCCGGCAGGCGGGATGCGAGGCCGCATGAGCGCCGGACGTGACGTCCCTGTGCTGGGCGAGGCAGTGCCTGAGGCGCGAGCGCGGCAGCGGAAAGCTGCAAGCGGCGGACGTGGCCGAGTGAATGATTGGCCGCCCACCGTGGACGGAGCGCGGGAAGCGTCGTCCGAACAAGGAGCTGTCACCCTGAGGGTCAGGCGGGGGAACGAGTCGTCATCCAGCTTCGGGCACCCGATGTCGGCCCAGCAGCCGCGTCGGAGCCGAACTGAGAAATTAGCATGATATATTTTAAACAGAGCTTAAGTATGGCTTTATGGAATGTTTGAAACGTGCTACAGGAACATAAGTTAGCTTAACTAGGACTTACACAGACGAGTTAATTACAATGTCAAGGCGGCGGACTAAATGGGGGAGGGGGGGGGGGGATCCGTGTGCGAGCCAGGAATGAGTGGGATGACGTGGGCGCCACCAGAGTATGTGCATTCTTGGAGTGAGTGTGGTGGGGCGCTGAATGCATGGAGTCCGTGTGGATGAGTTAAGGCCGAGGGAGGTTCCCAGGGTTGTTATCCAGCGGGCACTTGCCTATGTGATCGGCCAGTTGCGTGGGATCCTTGCCAGTTGGGCGTATTATCAGCGCACCCGGCTCCGTTTTTGCCCCGTTTGAATACTACCATAAGCTAAAAAGGTGGAGGTGGTGTACCACGGTTAATGGTGCACAGCCATGTGCTTGAAGAGAGCCGTTGATGGTGCCTGGCCGGGCGTACCATCTCACCAATGCCCCAGTCACCCGCTTTTTCCTAGCTCTGCGGCCCACATGAGTGTGTGTTGATAACGGGTGTACCGGAGTCATAGGGTGTCGAGTCGTACAGTAACATCTTCTGGCTCGTATGCTGACCAATGAGCTTGTCATCACAAATTCTCTCTTTGTTTAGGCGTGACGGCAGCAGCCGGCGGCGCACAACCATCCAGCGGCAGCCCGGTAGCAGCGCAGCATGCGAACACCACCGCAGAACCCCCCTCCCTCCCCACAACAACGTCCACGTAGCAACACGTAGCAACACGTAGCAACACGTAGCAAAGGCCCGCGAAAAATTGTTGCAACATAGATGCATTCACTCCATCGGTTCCGGTTGACTTGGATGGCTTCATAGATCCTGCTGTTAGGCATAAATCATAGTAAATTACCGGGTCCACTCGCAT